AGGAGAGGGATTAAGTAAATAGAAATCCCATGCTACAGACTACATGAATGCCCAGCTTTGAAGGCAGAGTCACCACCAGCAGCAGCACAGAAGTAAGAGTGGCTTGGTATGGTATTGTCATCCTTACTTCTGCGCTGCTGCTGGTGACAGCACTGTCTTCAGAGCTGGATGGCTAGAAAGAAGTGCCTGTTGGAAGGGTGCTCAGCTCTGAAGACAGCACGATTTCCAGCAGTAACACGGAAGAGAGGGTGTCACGGGTATGGAATGATATGGTAACATGACCCACAGGATCCCGAACCTGCTGCAGGACTCTACCCCCTTCCCTTTTTTCTCTGTCCATTTTTCCACCTCCTGTGGCTTTGCACCCTGGGCAGCTGCCCCCTCAACCAACCCTGGTTACAGCCCTGATGGATACAACTGTGTTGAGAATTGTAAGAAAAACATATTTCAGAGAAAAAAATACAGATATTTTCTTGTACCTAATAAATTTCCTGGTTGTTTTCCGCGGGTTTCATCATCCATATTTTTTTCCGTTTCCTTTTCCTCATCAACCGCCTCATTCTCACTTGCACCTTATTTAGAAAAAAACAACCACGGCATTGCTCTATCTTTTAATAGTCAGGGTGCTGAAGGCCAGCCCTCTTACCCCGCTCCCCCACCTTACCCCATCACTAGTGCTGGGAGCAGGGCCTTATGTCCGGTAGGGGGAGACCCGGATGGGGAAAGGAGGCTGAGGCGATTCTCTGGAAGGTTAATGATGTGTGAGTGGAGGCAGAGTGCTGAGCTACTGCTGTTTGAATCTCTTATGCTCATGAAAGAGCTTTCAAAATGGATACCAGTGCCATAACTAGTCATTTTAGCACCCAAGGTGAGCAATGGTATTTGTGCCCCCTGCTAGAGCCCTGTATAGGATTATATTTTTATTCCATCTCCCCTCCTGCCCCACAATACCCACTCCCACTCCGGTATGGTACGATATGGTAACATTACCCACAGGATCCCGATCCTGCTGCAGACCTTTACCCCCTTCCCTTTTTTCTCTGTCCATTTTTCCACCTCCTTTGGCTTCGCACCCTGGGCAGCTGCCCCCTCAACCAACCCTGGTTACAGCCCTGATGGATACAACTGTGTTGAGAATAGGAAATAAAATATTAGAGACAAAAACAGAGATATTTTCTTGTACCTAATAAATTTTCTGGTCCTTTTCCATGGGTTACATCATCCATCTTTGTGTCCGTTTTCTTTTTCTCAGCAGCCGGCCCATTCTCACTTGCACCTGATTTAGAAAAAAATATGATCACAGTGTTTCTCTATCACTTTTAACAGTGGGGGTGCTGGAAGCCAGCCCTCTTACCCTTCTCCCCCCCCCTTCCCCCAGAGCTAGTGCCAGGAGCAAGGCATTGTCTCTGGGGGAGTGGGGGAGACCCGCATGGGGTAAGGAGGCTGAGTCTGGGGCCAAAGTTGGGTCTGGTGTGGGGCCAGGAGCAGAGCCCCAGGTGTGGGATGGCAGCTGGAACCACGGGTCGGCAGCAATGTCCTGGGCATGGGGCCAGGAGTGGAGCCATGGGTAAAACCTTAGTGTGCTGCAGTACCCCCTGATCCTCCTTGTTTCCGCAGCTACATCCGACCATAACTTCTTCTGACCTTGTGACATTATCACAAACACTAATTATGCTGATCTCCTCAACAATATCTGATGGTCACTGTGTGAAGTGTTGATGTCAATGTGTCACACAAGCAGCAACACTCCAGGGACGTTATTCTGACTGCTAAATGATGTGTGAGTGGAGGCAGAGTGTTGAGCTGCTGCTGTTTGAATCTCTTATACTCACGATAGATTTTGCATGTGGATACTTTTATAGCTTTTATTTTCATAACTGATGAGGTAAGTCCAGATTTGCTGGGTATAAACTGTGAAGCGTAGAGTTTCTGGAACTAAGGTCTGGTAAGCGGTGACACACAATAAGCATGATCTTGACAGATTTTTCACTTGTCTGTCTCTTTTCCCCCTTTGAGGGCATGCTCATTCCTGTTCCACTCGAAGGGCATGATCCAACCAGACTTCAAATTCTTCCTCATGGAGAAGGGTAGGTTTTATCCCTGCAAAGCTTTTTAGTCTGTGATAACTGTCAGTTCCAGCTATACCCCTTTTCCTATTGCCTGGTTAATGGCCTTTAAATATAAATAAATGGAGATATCTTATCTCCTAGAACAGACCTTGAAAGGTCATCAAGTCCAGCCCCCTGCCTTCACTAGCAGGACCAAGTAGTGATTTTTGCCCCAGATCCCTAAGTGGCCCCCTCAAGGATTGAACTCACAACCCTGGGTTTAGCAGGCCAATGCTCAAACCATTGAGCTATCTCTCCTCCCTTTATGAATGAATCTTCTGTCAGAGGGTGAGAAGAGGGGTCAGGACTACACAATGCTCTTAAATCTTTTTCCCTCTTTTCTGTTCTGTGAAGCAAATGTTCAATTTCTCCTTGAAAATCTGATGTCTCATCCCATGGATTAGGGGGCACGATAAGCATAGTGCCTACAGTTTGTAGAGACCATTGCATCCTCTCTTCATCCACAATTATGTCCTGGGTCCCATCTGCATATCAAACCTCATTGAACCAGAACATAAGTCATACAATCTCTGTTCTTTCTCCTGATAGATTCTGCCATGAAAGATGACCTGCCCCATGAATAATCTGTGCTCTGGAAGAACTCTTGCTAAAGCCTCCTCACCACCATAGCCTGCTGTGGGTCTCCTTCATCCCATTCACATCACTCTAGGACCTGCCCTTTATCCAAGCTGACTTATGGATGGGGATAGAAGGGAGGTTTTTTTTCTTTTCACAATCCCAGCAGTGCCTCCAAGAATGTAAGGGAGTTTTATGGGTCGCCATACCCCTAAATGCAGCTAATTGTCAACACAAACCCTTACCTGCTGTCCCTCTGCTTTGGCTGCAGTGGGTTTCAACTGTTTGGGTTCTTAGCTTCTAAGTGCTGGTGCCTCCACCTGACTATTTAAGGGTTTCAGGAACTCGACATTGCCTCCCTAGGTGATTTATACTATCCCTGACCTGGTACTTACCTGCATGACTAGCCTGATACCATGTACATATGCTCTTCTGACATCTCCATAATGGATGAACCAACAATCAAGGAACACTTTATTTACAAGGGGAAATATAAAGGAAGCATATAAAGGGAAGAGGAAGATGGATTTGCACTGACTACATCATTAACACCATACAACCTGCAAGTAACCCAACCCCCCAGGAGGATTTCCCTGGATTCATGAATCCAGTGTTTTCCACACTAGTGCACTCTCTAATGTGGAGGAATCCATGTACCTTGATCAGGCCCGAAGGTACTTGAGTGCTGAGGGGTTAGGAGAGCGCCAATTCACCTAGGAGGCCAACCTCTCTGTGGCAGCAATAGGCATTTCTCACATTGGAAAAGGTCCCCATAACATAGAGGGCCTCCTACGTGTTTCCAAATCCAGTTGCTATCTCCCAGAGTAGTCCAGCAACCCCCTTTCACAGCAAAGTAGGCAACAACTCAGGCAGCAAGAGACAGTCAGGGAATCACCCACACTCACTCGGCAACTTACCCGCCAGGCACTTAGCTTCCTCTGTCAGCATGTTGTCAGCATTGAGGATGGTGACTGCTTCTTCCTTCTTTTTCTCCATAAACTGCTCCAGCATCTTCTCTGCCTGGGAATAGTAGAGCAAATATGGTGCTTAGCACTCAGCACTGAGTTATTCCTGAGTGAGTGCCAGGGGCGGCCCATCCATATAGGCAAACTAGGCGGTCGACTATGGTGCCAAGTTAAACGGGACGCCATATTCAAGGGGAAAAAATCAAATGAAAAAAAGAAAAAAAAGAAGAAAAGATGAAATAAAATACAAATAAAATAATGAAGATGTCATTATTTCAATTCCCATGCACGTCTGGAGGAAATATGAATTATAATTCTTTGCTCTACATTTCTGAGAATTTATTAATATGTCAAATCTTTTATTTACTGCAAAAATAAATAATATTTTAGCAAAAAAAAATTCAATTTGTGATGTAGGGTCAAGATGACCCACTCCGCAATTTTGATAAGCAATAACTCAGCCACAATGAAACACATCCACCAGAGGCAAGAGCTGCAACGCTAGTGACACATAGCTCAAATATACATCAAGGTTGCAGAGCAAGAAATTCGTGTAGAGCGGAGATATTGCGAGTTGATACATGTCAAATGGTCATTTTAACATACGTCGCAGGTAGATGGTTAAAAATTGAGTGAATACTGTGGCAAATTGTGTTTCTTGGTGCCAAAGAATAAAGAATAACATCTTTCAGCATTATAAATCCAAAATGTGAGTATCTTTAAGTGTTATTAAACCTTAGCGTTATTATCGGGCTGTATAATTATGAACTTTTCTTTGTCATAACTGGTTCACATGTAATAAATAAGATCCATAAAAGAAAAGTAACAGTGTTCATGCTTAATAGACTATGAAATTGATGACTTCACACTCCAAGTGGGTAACTGTGAAGAAGGGGATTACTTTCCAATCAACCGGTGTCGGGTTATAACATCGAAAAAGGTCATTTTGCTTCCCCATAAACGCTGTAACTAACTGTTTTAATATGTAAATGAGTGTATGTTACTAACCATTGAACCTTTAAGCAGTGAAAAGATGTGTAGGGATAGCTGCAATGTGGTTTAAATCACCAACTATGTGATGTATAATGCTTGCAGTCAGGAACACAGTACATAACAATATTCAAATGCCACATGGCAGAAAGAGGAAAGAAAACCCTCAGGAGCTGAGTGTCGTAAAGGAAAGGCTGAGAAGGAAAAGGACCAAGCAAAACAGCAAAGATACTTCCTGAAATATTTTCTCTTTAATCCAAATAAAGATGGAAGCAGTTCACAGCATCCAGATGAAGGAATTTTACTAGGAGAGGAGGTTAGCTCACATCTGCATGGAAGCAGTTTAGAAGATCAAGATGAAGTATATTACTTCAAGATGAGGGTAGCTCACATCCTTAAAAAAGCAGTTTGGACACACACCATGATTGAACCGGATTTCTACCTAAAGTCCCCTCTCAGC